GACTTATCAAAAAGAAAAGAGAAATGACCCAAATCAACAAAATCATGAATGAAAGAGGAGAGATCACAACCAACATCAAAGAAATACAAACAATTATAAGAACATATTATGAGCAACTATATGCCAGCAAATTAGATAATCTGGAAGAAATGGATGCATTCCTAGAGATGTATAAGCTACCAAAACTGAACCAGGAGGAAATAGAAAACCTGAACAGACCCATAACCACTAAGGAAATTGAAGCATTAATCAAAAAATCTCCCAACAAACAAGAGTCCAGGGCCAGATGCCTTCCCAGGGGAATTCTACCAAACATTTAAAGAAGAATTAATACCTATTCTTCTGAAACTGTTCCAAAAAATAGAAATGGAAGGAAAACTTCCAAACTCATTTTCTGAGACCAGCATTACCTTGATCCCAAAACCAAACAGAGACCCCATCAAAAAGGAGAATTACAGACCAATATCCCTGATGAACATGGATGCCAAAATTCTCACCAAAATACTAGCCAATAGGATCCAACAGCACATTGAAAGGATTATTCACCACAACGAAGTGGGATTTATTCCTGGGCTGCAAGGTTGGTTCAACATCTGCAAATCAATCAATGTGATACAATACATTAACAAAAGAAAGAACAAGAACCACATGAACCAATGCAGAAAAAGCATTTGACAAAGTACAGCATCCTTTCTTGATTAAAACTCTTCAGAGTATAGGGATAGAGGGTACATACCTCAATATCATAAAAGCCATCTATGAAAAACCCACAGCAAATATCATTCTCAATGGGGAAAAACTGAGAGCTTTCCCCCTAAGGTCAGGAACATGGCATGGATGTCCACCATCACCACTGCTATTCAGCATAGTACTAGAAGGCCTAACCAAAGCAATCAGACAACAAAAAGAAATAAAAGGCATCTGAATTGGTAAAGTCAAACTCTCATTCTTTGCAGATGATATGATACTTTATGTGGAAAACCCAAAAGACTCCACCCCAAAACTGCTAGAACTCATACAGGAATTCAGTAAAGTGGCAGGATATAAAATCAATGCACAGAAATCAGTTGCATTTCTATACACCAACAACAAGACAGAAGAAAGAGAAATTAAGGAGTCAATCCCATTTACAATTGCACCCAAAACCATAAAATACCTAGGAATAAATCTAACCAAAGAGACAAAGAATCTGTACTCAGAAAACTATAAAATACTCACGAAAGAAATTGAGGAAGACACAAAGAAATGGAAAAACGTCCCATGCTCATGGATTGGAAGAACAAATATTGTGAAAATGTCAATGCTACCTAGAGCAATCTACACATTTAATGCAATCCTTATCAAAATACCATCCACTTTCTTCAAAGAAATGGAACAAATAATCCTAAAATTTGTATGGAACCAGAAAAGACCTCGAATAACCAGAGGAATGTTGAAAAAGAAAAGCAAAGCTGATGGCATCACAATTCTGGTCTTCAAGCTCTATTACAAAGCTGTAATCATCAAGACAGTACAGTACTGGCACAAAAACAGACAAATAGATCAGTGGAACAGAATAGAGAGCCCAGAAATGGACCCTCAACTCTATGGTCAACTAATCTTCAACAAAGCAGGAAAGAATGTCCAATGGAAAAAAGACAGTCTCTTCAACAAATGGTGTTGGAAAAATTGGACAGCCACATGCAAAAGAATGAAACTGGACCATTTCCTTATACCAGACACAAAAATAGACTCAAAATGGATGAAAGACCTAAACATGAGACAGGAGTCCATCAAAATCCTAAAGGAGAGCACAGGCAGCAACCTCTTCAACCTCAGCCGCAGCAACTTCTTCCTAGAAACATCGCCAAAGGCAAGGGAAGCAAGGGCAAAAATGAACTATTGGGACTTCATCAAGATAAAAAGCTTTTGCACAGCAAAGGAAACAGTCAACAAAATCAAAAGACAACCGACAGAATGGGAGAAAATATTTGCAAATGACACATCAGATAAAGGGCTAGTATCCAAAATCGATGAAGAACTTATCAAACTCAACACCCAAAGAACAAATAATCCAATCAAGAAATGGGCAGAAGACATGAACAGACACTTTTCCAAAGAAGACATCCAAATGGCCAACAGACACACGAAAAAGTGCTGAACATCGCTTGGCTCTGGGAAATCCAAATCAAAGCCTCAATGAGATACCACCTCACACCAGTCAGAATGGCTAAAATTAACAAGTCAGGAAATGACAGATGTTGGCAAGGATACGGAGAAAGGGGAACCCTCCTACACTGTTGGTGGGAATGCAAGCTGGTGCAATCACTCTGGAAAACAGTATGGAGGTGCCTCAAAAAGTTGAAAATAGAGCTACCGTATGACCCAGCAATCACACTATTGGGTATTTTCCCCAGCGATACAAATGTAGTGATCCGAAGGGGTACATGCACCCCGACGTTTATAGCAGCAATGTCCACAATAGCCAAACCATGAAAGAGCCAAGATGTCCATCAACAGATGAATGGATAAAGAAGATGTGGTGTATATATATATACCATGGAATATTATGCAGCCATCAAAAAACACACACACGAAATCTTGCCATTTGCCAACGACATGGATAGAACTAGAGGGTATTATGCTAAGCGAAATAAGTCAATCAGAGAAGTACATGTATCATATGATCTTACTGATATGAGGAATTCTTAATCTCAGGAAACAAACTGAGGGTTGCTGGAGTGGGGGCGGGTGGGAGGGATGGGGTGGCTGGGTGATAGACATTGGGGAGGGTATGTGCTACGGTGAGTGCTGTGAATTGTGTAAGACTGATGAATCACAGACCTGTACCTCTGAAACAAATAACATATTATATGTTAAAAAAAAAAAGAAGAAAGTAGGAAGAGAAAAATGAAGAGGGGAAAATCGGAGGGGGGATGAACCATGAGAGACTATGGACTCTGAGAAACAAACTGAGGGTTCTAGAGGGGAGGGGGTGGGGGGATGGGTTAGCCCGGTGATGAGTATTAAAGAGGGCAACGTACTGCATGGAGCACTGGGTGTTAATATGCAAACAATGAATCATGGAACACTACATCAAAAACTAATGATGTATTGTATGGTAATTAACATAACAAAATAAAATTTAAAAAAAGATATGGCATTAACATCACAATCTGTGAAAGAAATACTTGATAAATGGGACTTCATTAAAATTAAAAACTTATGCTCTGTGAAAGACACCATCAAAAAAAGGAAAAGGCAAAGAAACCACAGCCTGGGAGAAAAATTTTGCAAAAAATGCATCTGCTAAACCTTTACCCCCTCCAAAAAAGCCTCTTAAAACTCAATAATAAGAAAACAACCCAACAAAAAATGGGCAAAAGAACAATATAGAAAATGGATATTTCAGTCATGAATGATGAAGGGTTCTAGAGATCTTCTGTACAACCTTATGCTTATAGTTAACATACTGTACTGTACATGTAAAATTTATTAAGTGTATAGATCTCATGTGTTTTTAACCACAAAAAAATCACAGAAATAAATACATTACAAACATGTCCATTAATGGGAAAAAAAAAAAGAGAAAAGGCTTTTTACACATGAAAACCCAGAAGCCATACAGAATAACTCTGTTAAACCCAAATTGATAAATATTAGCATTTCTATATGGCAAAAAACCCCAATATAACATTTATAACCAATAGAAGGCTCATATCCATAATATATAAAGAATTAAAAAATTTTTCTTCACTAAGTAACACCTATGCCAATGTGGGGTTCAACTCATGATCCCGAATTCAAGAGTCACATGCTCTATGGACTGAGCCAGCCAGGTGCCCCAGAAGTACATAATTTTTACAAATTAATCAAAGATATAACCCAATAGAAAAATATACACACGACTTAAGCAGGTACTTCACAAAATAGTATATCCAATGAGCAACAACAACAGTAACAACAAATTATGACAGGGTTTTCAACTTCATCAGCCATCAGGGAAATGCAAATTAAAGCCGTAACTAAATACCATGACACACTTACCAGAAAAGGCAGAATTAGGGCGCCTGGGTGGCTCAGTTGGTTAAGTGACTGCCTTCGGCTCAGGTCATGATCCTGGAGTCCCGGGATTGAGTCCCACATCGGGCTCCCTGCTCAGCAGGGAGTCTGCTTCTCCCTCTGACCCTCTTCCGTCTCGTGCTCTCTATCTCTCATTCTCTCTCTCTCAAATAAATAAATAAAATCTTTAAAAAAAAAAAAAGAAAAGGCAAAGTTAGTAAGACTGACAATACCAAATACTGACAAAGAATTGGGAGCAACCAAAATCTCATATACAACTGAGGAGGGCTTAAATTAATACAACTACTTGGAAGACAGTATAACAGTTATCTACCAAAGTAGAATATGCACATAACCCTTTGATCCAATAATTAGGTATATCACAATTAGAAATGTGTTGGTAAGTCCACGAATATTCCTAGCAGCACTATTCATAATAGAGCACAGTTGGAAGCAACATAAATGTCCATCAACAGTAGAATGGCTAGTATGTTTATTCAGTGGACTATTATACAACCAGCACAAGTGAAAAAAGTGCTGCCACATGCAGCAACATGAGTGAATCTCACGAATATAAGATTGAACAAGAGAAACAAACTAAATTCAAGAATGCATATTGCCTGCTGTCAAAACTCAGAAATAGTGTTAAAAGTCAGGATAGTGGTTACATCTGGGTGGGAGAGAGGGTGTAGACCTAGAGAGAAGAAACAAAGGGGGCAATGGAATGCTGGGAGCTTCTTGCACCCCATGATGTACACTTAGGAGTTGTGTGTGTTTGGGTAGGTATGTTATGCTTATACTTCGGTAAAAATTTCTGGACAGTGTACAAAAAGAAGCTGTTTATCAAACTTCTATGTGTTTTAGATTTTTTTTTCTCAATGTACTCATGTTCTACCCTGAGAAAAGATCAATTACATTTAAAGCATCATCAGAAACATTCCTCTGCAACCACAGCTTACCTAATTTACTCTGTTCTTTCTCCCTCCCTTGTAGCTCATCAGTGAGCATTCGGATCTCTTCCTGGGCCATCCTTAACCTCTCCACCGCTTGTTCTGCATTTCTCTCCAGGCAGTTTTGTGAAGTTTTATCTTTTTCCAGGTCTTCATTACGGGACTGAAATAAAACTATTATTAGTAATAAAACAAAAATTAAATGTACTCTTATAACACTGCACTATTTCCTACAAGCATTTGAAAGCTAACAAAGAAAAGCAGCAAACAATATTTCATTTGTATGTATTTCTTTTATTAAATGAAACCATATAAAATTGGTGATACTTGATTTTTTTACCTATGAACATACAACTTCATATAGTTCAACCTAATATATCTAAGAGTTTATGGTTATACGATTATAAAAAATAGAAATTTTATCATAAAAATGAGTATCATCTGACAAAAAAGAGAAAAAAACTCCTCATGTATATGGTCCATTAAATACAGTTTATAAAATGCTTTCACACAGAGTATTTCATTTAATGTCAAGATATGCACACACTCAAATCATGTTTACAGATCCTTTTCTGCAATTATTTTCAAAACATTTTAAAAGCTAAGAAATTTAGTCTCCATTATACCTTGCTTTTGATCCCCAAAATATGTATTAATTTATATAATCATCATACAAATATTTCTTACTTTTTTTTAAGAATTCTATTATTTTTTTAAAGATTTTATTTATTTATTTGAGAGAGAGAGAATGAGAGAGAGAGCATGAGAGAGGGGAGGGTCAGAGGGAGAAGCAGACTCCCTGCTCATACAAATATTTCTAAAAGATAAGAAGACAACCAAAATACCATCCACATAACAAAACCACTTCTAGTATATTGGTATATATCCTTGCAGTATTTTTTATTTATATACATTTTTACATAGTCATAATCCCAATCTATGTACATTTCTGTCTTTTTCATTTAACATTATATGAGAAACACTTCCCCAAAAAACTGTACAGATTTTGTAATGATAATTTTTTTAAAGGCTATATAGTGTTCCATAGTGAGTGTAACATGATTTATATAATCATTTAAACATTTGGTAGTTTCTAATTTTTGCTATTTAAAATAATGCTATGATAAACAGTTTCATCCATATACATTTATCTTGGGTTACTTCCTGCGGTTAAATTCCTAGCATATACTTTATTTCCTGGATTTAGCACTTAATAACATTTCCCCAGATCAAAAAATTTAATTCCATGAAAGAATTGATTATACTTAAAATAATGTGCTATATATATTAAAGGACTACCTCCAAAAAAGGGCTCCAAACATATTTGGGAAGGATTATCCCAAAATGATTTTTCAAAGGTTATAACACACATTGATTGTTTAAATTTTGATGCATTCAATAAAAATCAGCTATTAATTTTTTTCTTCCCAAATCTTTGTGATGTATTTATAATACTTCTATGCACAATTTTATAATCTTCACAGCATCAATCTATATTTTAATATATTCAAAAAAAATACTTGCTAAAAGCTAATGTGTAATTAGCTGCTATTATTAAGTGAAGGATTCTTTTTTTTTTTACCTCACTCAGATTTTTTTCAGATTGCTTCACAGGTTCCTGATATTTCTCATGTTCTCTTTGCAGAGGCTGGTGGATTTGTTCAAGTTTCTCCTGAATAAATAATAAGATAAGTGAAACTTACATCAGTCAGTCTTTATAAATAAAAATGTCATTTAAATTTTTTTAAAAAGCAAAAAAACAAAAAAAAGGAGCACAGTCCATTTCATCAAGTTAGGCCATGCATTTTCAATGAGACAGTATCACCCCAAAGGGAGTGAAAATTGGTTCCTATGGGAGCAAAAAAATCTTACTCTTTTTATGTACAAAGCATGATATGCCTACACTATGTAGAACTCTAGTGTTAAAATTTCACAGGAGAGTGATTAGGAAAATTATCTAAAAAGTCTTACTATAGAGGCAATAATGAAAAACAATTGGCTAACACTGGCTAGCCAAACCTTGAGATTAAAACCCAATAAAGATAACAAGAGAAAGAAAAATCACAGGGCAATCTTCTTACTCATAAACATAGATAAAAAATCCTAAACAAAATTTTATGAAATCTAATCTAATAATATCTAGAAAGGACAACATATCATGAATAAGTTGGATTTATCCCAGCAATGCAAGATAGATTTAACATTAGAAAAATAAATCAATGAAATTCTCCCATTAACAGATTCAAGTTCTAAATTATTTCATCATCAATGGCTACAAAAAAACATTTTCTAGTATTCACCACTGGTTCCTAATAAAAACTCTTAGCAAATTAGGAATAAGAGTGTAAATAATAAATAATAAATAAAGATTACCATCTGAAATAAAAGCTTCAGCAAACATCATACGTAATAGTGATTCACTGAATGCTTTCTCCGATATTAATAACAAGATGATGATACTAGATAATACTACTAATAATACTAATTTCAAGATAATAGTAAAGAGCCTAGCCAGTATAAGGCAGGAAAAAGAATTGAAAGGAATAAGGACTGAAAAGGAAGAAACAAAAGTATCATTATTCTCAGATAATGTGATTATACAGGTAGAAAATATTTTAAATCTTCAAAAAAATTATTAAAATGAATAGGAGGGGCGCCCTGTTGGCTCAGTCAGTGGAGCACATGCCTCTTGACCTCAGGGTTGTGAGTTCAACCCCCACATTCAGTGTGGAGCCTACTTAAAAAAATAAATAAATAGGGGCGCCTGGGTGGCTCAGTCGTTAAGCATCTGCCTTCAGCTCGGGTCATGATCCCAGGGTCCTGGGATCCAGCCTGGCATCGGGCTCCCTGCTCCGCGGGAGGCCTGCTTCTCCCTCTCCCACTCCCCCTGCTTGTGTTCCCTCTCTCGCTGTCTCTTTCTGTGTCAAATAAATAAAATCTTTAAAAAATAATAAAAATAATAAATAAATAAGTAAATAAAAACAAAGAGCAAAAAGTACTTTATAAATAAATAAGTAAAATGAATAAGAAATTTTAGCAACAATGTTAGGTGTCGGTCAGTGTATAAAATAATTATATTTTTAAATACCAGTGACAGATAGTTAGAAAATTAAATTCTTTTAAAAAAGATAGCATTTGCTATTAATAGCATCCAAAAATATGAAGTACCTAGGAATAAATGTAACAACAAGAGTGTAAGATTTTATGGAGAAAATCATAAAACTTTACTTATATACATTAAAAAATACATGGATATTCCATGATCACAGATCACATCAATATTTTAAGATAGTAAATTCCTCTTCAACTAATTCATTACAACCAAAAATCAAAATCCCAGATTTTGTAATAACATGAATCAGAATGTTACTCTTTCCTCTTAAAATTATTTAGTGACTCTCCAGACCTTCTATAACAAAGTCCATCAAATGTTTTTATGCCTTGGGGTGCCTGGCTGCCTCAGTGGGTATAGCCTGCAACCCTTGATCTTGGGGTTGTGGGTTCAAGCTCCGTGCTGGGTTTAGAGATTACTGAAAAATAAAATCTTTTTATTTTTTTATTTTTTTAAAGATTTTATTTATTTATTTGACAGAGAGAGACACAGAGAGAGAGGGACCACAAGCAGGGAGAGTGGGAGAGGGAGAAGCAGGCTTCCCACCGAGCAGGGAGCCCGATACGGGGCTCGATGCCGGGACCCTGGGATCAGGACCTGAGCTGAAGGCAGACGCTTAATGACTGAGCCACCCAGGCGCCCCTGAAAAACAAAATCTTTTTAAAAATTGTTTTTATGCCTCTAGTATGGTTCAGGAACACTGATGGGTGCTGAGTCCAAACTTTAGCTTAGTATATGAATCTCACCATGATGTGGTTCCTGAAAATATCTCCAGCCACATTTCTCAGCATTCACTCACACAAGCCAGTCTGTAATATACACTGTTTCCTCTGCAGAAATGACTTTCCCAGCTTCTTCATCTAGCTAACACAAATTCAGCTTTCAAACTACTACTCAGTATCTCCTCTGGAAGGCTTTTCAGTCCCCCGACCCATCACGTCTGACTCAGATGTGAAGCCCTTCTCTGAATTTCTCGAACCTTCTATGCCTTCCCTTATCATGGGATTTTACACACTGAACTATAATCACTGGCTTTTTTCTTTCCTCCATTAGCTTATAAGTTCCTTGCAAGTCCAAATCATGTCTAACTTGACTTTGTTTCTATATCCACTGGCACAGAGCCTGGCACATGGGAAATCCTCAATAAACAATAACAATAATGCTAATTAATACTCTGGTTTCTCTTCAGATGGCATAAATCTTTCACCTTTTATTACAGATTTCTGTGGAGAAAAAAAGCCTCACAATAATGCTAATTAATGTGTGAGGTACTATTCTGGAGCCTTATATATGTTATTTCATTTTCATGATAACCTTGTGGAGTAGCTGAGCCGATCCCAGATTTTATAGATGAGAAAATCAAGGCTCACAAAAGTTAACTAACTTGCTCAAGTTCATTCTGAGAACAAGTGGCAGAGAAGTCCATCCAAATATAGAACCTATATACTTGGGGTGCCTTGGCAAAGTCGGTTGAGTGGCAAGCTCTTGGTTTTGGTTCAGGTCGGGATCTTAGGGTCCTTAGATTGAGCCCCACATCTGGCTCCCCACCAAGCAGGGTGTCTCCTTCAGGATTCTCTCTCTCCCTCACCCTCTGCCCTTCCCCCCACTCACTTGGACATGTACTCTCTCTCAAATAAATAAATCTTTAAAAAAGAACACCTATATACTTAAGCATTATTAAAACTGGCTTCCTAATAATTTAATGAATGAATTATTAAAGAAATAACAACAACAAAAAAAACTGATCTGCCTCTTATTCAATTACCTACTTAATTTCAGAATACTTGGGCAAGTCCTTTCTGTAGGTTACTGGTCATACATCTTTGTGATTCTGGCTTGGAGCCCCCAGTTTCCAGTTTCCTCAAGAGTGTACTTCTTTCTACCAGTAAGTATGTAATCTGTTCACTGGGGCTGCTCAGAGCTATTTCAGATAAGCCCTCTTGATACAACATTTCTTCAATCTCTTTTATTTGCACTTCTGTTAGGAAGAAATAACAGAAACAAAACTATTAAAAGAAATGCCGGCAAATAATTGCTGTTATAAGATGTTAAATGTGTTTTTAATGAAACAGCAAGTTAATTTTTAAAAAATCAGCTACACTGCTACTAGCACTCTTCTCCCCATCCCTCCAGGGTGTTTGCAAACTTTCAGAAAAAATAACAAAAAAAGTAGTTGGAAAATGTTCTCAAAAGCAGTAGATATTCTTACTGTTGCAGAATTTTAAAATTTGTTGTTGTTTTATTGAGTGCTTACTATGTGGTAGGTATTGTATTAAGCACTTAAGATAAATTTATGTCATCTAATCCTTGCAACAATCCACTGAGGTAGGAAACATGATTATCCCATTTATGAGACAAGGATGCAGGCACCAACAAGCCAACTAATTTGTGTAAGATTACTTAACTAGCCCTGCCAAAATTCTTCATGATTTCAATACTCAGGTAGATTATTCTAGTGCCCTGGCTTCTCAGTCTCTTCACCGACTAACTTCCAAAGATTGAGTCCTCCACCCCATCTCAGCCCCTACTCCACAGTAATTCTCTAGACCTTGTTAGCAGCAACTCCCTAGTCTCAACTTCAAGCATCCCATTCTCCAATCACCCTTTCCTATGTACTTCTTCTAGTAGCTAGATGTCAACAAATTGTTTTTTAAGATTTTATTTATTTATTTGACAGAGAGAGACACAGCGAGAGAGGGAACACAAGCAGGGGGAGTGGGAGAGGGAGAAGCAGGCTTCCCGCTGAGCAGGGAGCCTGATGTGGGGCTCGATCCCAGGACCCTGGGATCATGACCTGAGGCAAAGGCAGATGCTTAACAACTGAGCCACCCAGGTGCCCATAAATGTCAACAAATTTTTGACCATACTGGCAACTATAATCCATTAACTTTAAACACTTTTCAATGTTCTTTATCCCACTCCCGTTCTCATTTACTTTCTTACCTAGCTTAGATTCATCTAAGCAATTCATCATTACAATCACCCCCCTTGAAAACATTCACAACTCCCTTGCCCCTCTTTCCTTCCATTATACTTGGTTGACAGAACTCCAGCCTGTAAACCAACCCTTCACCTCTCCTGCCCCTCACTCCAGAATTGAAGTGAGAAGCTCTAAAATGAAAAATAAAACAAAACAAAACAAAAAACGATTCCAAATGGAATATCTGAGGTGCCAGGGAAAATGCTGAGCAAAGAAAATAATAAATGTGTGGTAAATATAAGTAATCACTGTCCCTATGTAATAATAATATTATCTAATTTGTGAGGTTAAACAAAATAGAATATTCTAAAGGGGTCCTATCCATGTCTTCCCTTGTAGCTTTGTAGTACTTAATAAATATTTCCTGAATCCTTAATATGCTAGGTACTTTACAAGGCAGGTGCTGTGGGAAACACAGAAACCACTAAGACCAGGGCACGATTTCTGCCCCAAAGGAGCTGACACAGGTCACTACGACACAGTGTGGTAAGTGCTAGAATAGACACTGAAGGAAATAACCATCCTGTATTCTCTCACACACATTCCTGACTCTTTCAGAATAGATAATTTAAAGACTAGACAGAAAATACACTCAAAACATTATAAGTACTTTTCTTGGAGTGGAGGATTATATTTTCCCCCTTCTTTCTACTTTTACACATTTCCCAGATTTCTGTAATTGTCACATATTATTTTTAGAAGTAGGAAAAAAAATAAACTTCACATTGTTACAAAAGGAAAAATTACCCTGTTTGGGTAGGAGCTCTTTAACCACATGTCTATGCTGTTTGTTTTCCTTTTCACAACCATGAGAAAATGCTTCTTTTTCCTCTGTTAAGTTATGGACATGGTTTGCATAGTTTTCTACCTAAAAAGAAAATAATACATTTTCTTACTCTTAGTCCATGGTTCATATAGTAATCCATATCAAATCTATGAAGTGAAAGAGTCATTGAGAGATCACCATACTATCGTGTCTATAATCTAAGAAATAAACAGAAAACCTAGCTTTCCTTAAGTGTGGGTCTCCCTCCCTAAACTTCCTTCCAGCTGCTTCGTGTTATCAGACACTGTTTCGCACAGATATGATGACACATCACCACAAATTTCTGGGACAGTCACAATCTCTAATTTCTTTTTTCCATTAACTTAACAGGTTTCAAATCAAGTCTCCTTATCTATGATTTAGGAAATATAGCATGATACCCATGAACAGAGAAAAATCTCCACAGTAATTGTTTATACTCCTGTACTAACAATGATGATTAAAATGTCTGAAATGTTAACAGAAGATTGTATTAAAATACTGAGTATTTTTTAAAAATAGCTTTTGGTTAATATGGCAGCTTCATAAAAGGTACTTTTATATGGTGCATAATAATAGATTAAAAGCTAGCTCAATGCTCCCGGCACTATATTAAGGACATCAAATACTTCATTTTCCCCACAATCCTCTGAGACTATTAGCCTCCCACTTTATAGGGGAAAAAGCAGCCCGTTAGGGGCCAAGGGATTTGCACTGTCATGCAGGAAATAAGGGGAGGCCTAGACTTCACACTCAGCAGGGCCAAACCCAGAGGCTAAGCTCTTACCTACTGTGCCAAATTGCTTAGAAGTAGACTACCAAAGTAACTGCCTTTTGCTGAATTGTGTTGAGACCTATTGCACAACTCCTCATAAAACGAACAAAGAGCTGAATGGTACAGCAGACATATGTTACAGCAGACATAACTCAGCACTGCCACCCAACTTTGTAACTTCCTGCTAATCTTCAATTTCTTTCTCTTCAAAACGGCAGGAACAATAACACCTATTTCTAATAATAACAACTATAATTTATTGAATACTTGCTAGGTGTCAAGTACATGTGTGTGAAATGTTTTATGGACCTTAACCTGTGTAAACCCCACACATCTCTTTGAAGAAGCTATTATCATCCCCATCTTACAGATGAGAAATTTCAAGTTCAAAGATGTTAACTAACTTCCCCCAGGTTACACAGAAAGACAGTACTAAAGGCAATTTTTCACCCCCATGTGCCTAATGTTAAAGTTCATGGTCTATTATGCTGTCCTGCTTTTGTTCTAAAGAAGCTGCATTCTTCTTTAAGAGTTTGGAAATCAAATCAAAAATTCCTCTAAGAATTAAATTTAAAAATCAGTGAGTTGCCTATCTTAGCTGAGATGTTGAAACACAGTAGAATGATTTCCAATCAACCTGAGAGAATTTCTTTACTCATTTAGAGAAAAAATATGTTGAAAAGTAGGTTGATCAGTATTGGAAACATCAAAAGAGTGATAAGAAAGTCAAAAGATGCCATTATCAACTCCTCTTAAGGGCTAGGTACCCTGCTTGGTTCTAGTCTACAACAGGTCCAGAAATAAAGGCAGGTATAGAGAGCTCTATTGTGGAAATCAGGCTATCTTAGCCACTGCTATAAAAATTAGAATCATTTGTTCAGCAAGTAAACATCTGTAATGCAGTGTACCTGTAGAGAAAGAATCCATCAGCCACAGGACATGCATGTCTGGTTCTTGTGGCAATTACATTTCTTTTTGTCAACTAGTAAGCTGGTATCTATTTTTCTACAAACTTCTCTGTGAGTGTAGTTAATATAAGGTCACCTTTGAGAAACAGATCCACTGACTAATCAGGTTTCTAAGCCTACAAGCTACAAGCAAGAGAGTCAGCTAAAGGGCTGGTTATTGAAACATGGATGAATTTACAAAGATAATGAAAGCCACCTTGAGCAGACCTATTTGGATGTCCAATCAGTCATCTCTGGGTAACATCCCATACATGTACTCTACTAGAAATGAATACAGACTGTTGGAACATTTTAGGGAAAAAAATGTACGTGCAAGTGCTTTGCAAACTACACAGTAATATTCAAATGTTGGTTTTTAACATGTCAATTTAATGAAGGACAATGAATAAAACCACAGGTATCTTAGAACTTTATGTTATTAGCTCTTACTTCTTTCATTTCTTCCATGTACTTCACTGTAATTTCTTCTAAATTTCTGGTAGCAGTGCTCAGCCCGTCTTCACTGTTCTGGAATAAGCACCAAATAAAATAGAGTGGTTCTTCTGTAGCAACAAGGGATTCAACCCCTCCTTTCTCGAGATGGTGAAATACATATTTTATCTGAACTTGTCCCTTGGTAAAAGAGGTAAGCATATGTGTATGTACATACATGCATACAACACACATACACACACGCACACACAACTGAGCATGCAAGAAAACTGACATGTATATACACCTAGAGTTAGACGCTGTACAAAGTAGTTTAGTTCTCCTGTTAATTAATGGGTATGTTATCCAGTTATGATGAACATTTACATGAATAGCCAACAACAGAAAGAAAATTAAAGTTTCAAACAGCTTTATAATATCTTCTAAAATAAGAAATGACGAAATTATATATATAATGCAAATGTGTGTTTTAAAAAATACAAGCTTTTCTGTATGCCCAGTTCTGAAGTTTACAATTTAGTAATCTGAAAATCGCCCAAAGGCCCCTTGCAAAGTTATATGTTCCAAAGAAGCCTTTTTTCCCTCAGTTGAATTTGAGAGATAAAAGGACTCCTCTGGAAGCTAGAGAGCCCACTGATTCTGTACTATCAAGGAATACTCACAGAATATGGCTTATAATTTCTGGTGACTTTTAAATCATTCAGTTCTGTTCTAAAACCTCTTGATATAAGCCTGTCATCAATATTATCTTTAGTTTTTTAAGTTAAAAGTAGTCATGCTACAAAAGAGCTGACACTATAATGGTAGGTGAAAGATAAATTTCTGATTGAAGTTGTATCTGTGTTTCTCTGTTACTAGAACCTCTGGCTGTGAATAGGACTAGCTGTTATAATCAAACATAACTTTTTAAAAATATTTTATTTATTTATTTGAGAGAGAGAGCACGAGCAGTGGGGAGGAACAGAGGGAGAGGGAGAAGCAGGCTCCCCGCTGAGCAGGGAGCCTGACTCAGGGCTCGATCCCAGGACCCTGGGAGCATGACCTGAGTCGAAGGCAGACGTTTAACCAACTGAGCCACCCAGGCACCCCCAGACATAACTTTTAACCAAGTTAATCTGACCAAATTGTAGTGATCTGTATAATTGTTATTGTACTGCTGATAGTCCACACAAACTATACTGTTTTGCTTTCTTATTTGTATTATTTTTCTCCTTTCTTGCTAAGTGTTTCAGTGTCATCATTTTCACATCAACAGTTTTGGTGGGCAATATATAGAATTCTAATTATCCTCTGAACCTCACACTGAAAGAAAAAAGGGCCCAGGCCTGAATCTTTGTACCCCATGTGTCCTCCTCATGACTTACAGCTAAGAATCTTCTTGTGCTCCTCCTCACCCCATTCCCATCGTCTGGTCCCCACTCATATTCTCCTTCTCCCTTTTTAAGGCTGAATAATATTCCGGTGTCTGGGTGTGTGCATGCATGTGTGTGTCTGTGTGTGTATGTATCACATTTTTTCATTCATTCATCTGTTCATGGACATTTGAGCTGTTTCCACCTTTCAACTGGTGTGAATTAACACTGTTGTGAACATGAGTTACAAGTAATCTGTTTAAGTCCCTGCTTTCAATTATTTTGGGTATATATCTAGAAGTAGAATTGCTGTCATATAACTCTGTTTAACTTTTTGAGGAGCTGCCCTACTGTTTTCCAAAGTAGCTGCACCATTGTATGTTCCCACCATACTGCCCAGAAGGGTTCCAATTTCTTCACGTCTTTGCCAACACTTGTTATATTTGTTTTATATATATAACAAGGCCATACTGATGGGGGTGAAGTGATTGCTCTCTTAAACTGTACTTATTCTACAATGACAGTGAGACCTCAGTCCCTGGACCATTACATCTTTCAAACCAGCAGATACTTTTGGCTTTTCCCCTCAAGCCTGGACCCAATAGCTGATCACTGCCATGTCTCATCAATGTCCCCAGTTATCTTGCTCCTTGTCCCACCTTCCCTGAAAATCCCAGCCCTGGAAAAGTTTGACCATTTGACTACCCTATATCGATTTTAGTTTGCTGAGTGCTCGTAGAGAAAAATAAAACAAGCAAGCAGACGGGGCCGCTACAAATTCATGGTCTGCAGCCTGAGCCAAGCTTCTCTCCTGATAGATCAATCTTTGCATTCTTCACCAGATTCTGCTACAGTTTCACTCAGCAGCTATCCAGAACTTCCAGCTCTCCCCTCAAACTCCACATCTTACTTCTCCCCTGTTTTGGCAGATGGCCTTGTCTTCCACAGCACTAATAAAACTGAAGTCATCATAAAACTCTGTCAGCTTCTTCCCCTACAATAAGATACTAGCCTTCATCGTTAGAGAACTTGTTCTCTTTCTCTGCTCAGTGGAGACTTCCATCTTCCCGATCAAAGCAAGTCTCTTCACCGGTGTTCTAGATCCCATCCCATATTGCTTCTTCAAGGAAGCTTTTTCTTTTCTGTATACTCATTATCTCCCTCTCTACTGATGTCTTGCCCTTCATTCAAGATGTTTCTGGTCTTAAAAAGAAAGATACAAAAACAATTCTCCTTTGACCCCACCACATTCCTCTGAAGGTACTGTCCTTCTTCTAATTTGTCTTCCCCTCCTCAAACATCTGCATTTTGGCTTCTGTTCTTACCACTATACTCAAAATATCACTTACCAATAACCCTCAAAATGCCAATCAAACTGGACATGTTTCTATAATTTTTATATATGATCTCTCTGCACCCCTATCTTGAAAGTGTTTCCTTTCTCTGTTCTGTGACATCACTTTCTCCTGTTTACTCTTACCTCTCTGGCCTTTCCTTCTCTGTGTTCTCCCTGAGCTCCTCTTCTTCCATAGCCCCTTGAGACGCTGACATTCCTAAGAATCCTGCCTTTGGCTCTCTGCCTTTTCTCACTCTCATGGTGATTAACAGCGTGGATATAGGAGTCTGACATACCTTGGTTCAAACCCTGGCTCCACCACTTTCTAGCTTTGTGACTAAGCAAGTCACCTAAATTCTTTAAACTTTTATTTACCCCCAAATAAAATGGATTAATAATAATGCCTACCTCATGGGGTTGTTAGGGTTAAATAATAATCTATCTTTGCTAAGCTCCAGCTCTATCTAGAAAAAAAATGGGAAGAAACAGGAACACACTGAAGTTAGAACAAACACAAGTACGTGTGGCAAAGACTGCCAGTTGTCCCCCAATATTTATTCTTTCCTTTTCCCGCAGCATAAGATAACTGACTTCTTGAATGATCATACGGCTGCCTGCCTTACTGCTAGAGACAGCCAAGTTCTGATCAATGGGATGTAAATGGAATTGTGCGCCACCTCTAGGAAGTGCCCTGAAAGGAATGGGATCACTCTTCCTCACTACTTCCTCCATTCTACTGGCTGGAATACACACAAGATAGTTGAAGCTTGAGCAGCCATCCTGGACACCATGGGTTAGAAGCCACCTGCCATAGATAATATACTATCATGAGAGAAGAAATCTGTGAATCTCCGACAATTTCAAGATGCTACCCTATCAGTTCTGGACTGCTTTCTTCTTCACTCTTATTTGGGAGAAATAAATTTCTATCTTTTTCAAGCCATTTTTATTTTGAGCTTTCTGAACCTCATGGCCAACCAATCCCAACTATTACAGAAGGGTTACTTAAAGAATAAGATATACATGCATATGCTGGAAAATAAATGTGACTACATAGGAACTGGATATGGAACTGGACAGCCCATCCTGGACCAGACTGGACTAGTCTATCCTGACCCATGAGGTCTTTCATCTCTGAGTTTCCACATGAATCTGCCCCCGTTTACTTGCTTTTCTACATGGATAGATTTTCTCTGCTTGCTCATCAGCCAGGCTAGAAACAGCCATTCATGTGTTAAGCCTAACTAACTTTTCATATGAAGTCACTTCTGTTCTTTATGTTTTAATTCAAATTCATGAAAGAGAGATGATTATTTTTTGCTCATTCAATGATCCATGTCCCCCTCTCCAAAGTTAGTTGTATAATCCTCATTCAGTCCATTGTCACTGGAATGGGTTAGAAGCAAATATGACATACGAATATGGCCACTAAAGCCTACTCTTTAAGTAAGGATTGGTGGAGAGGTACAAATTCCAGAGAAGAGGATGTGTAGGTAAGAAGACAATATAAAATGCGTCTACTGTTTAAGACCAATGCATATCAAATTGTCTAATGAACTACTCGGCTTGAATCCACTCATCTTTCCCTTCCACCTGCTCCTCCTTCTGTATTGTACAGTTAATAAAATCACCATCAATACAGTTTCCCAAGCTGGAAATCTGGGAGTCATCCATGACCCTGCCTTCTTATTCATCCCACTCTCATTAACGACCAGTCCCTGAATATGTAGATTCTACTTCTTATCTAAGGGTGCTGCCTCCGTTTAGCCTCTCCTCACTTACTGTCCAGTTTAGTGTAATTGCATCCTTAACTGATATCCCTGCTGCCAGGCTGTCCCCCATCCAAAGCCCTCAGACTGGCTGTTCTGAATGCAAATCACTTGCTGCTCTTCATTCCCATTGCTTTCAGGAAGAGTTCAAATCCCTCAGCTTGGCACCAGAGATTCTTCACAACCTAGTTCCTGTCTGTCTTTATAGCCTTATCTTCTGCCACACCTTGACATTAGTATACTTACTGATCCCCATAATGCTGCTTATATTTCCATGACTTTGAACATTTGGGTCGCTCTGCCTTTTCTGCTCTGACACCCCAGAACACACATTTTTCCAGGGGGTTGGTTCACTGAGACTCAATGGTTAGGTAATTTGAAAATTCTAAAAAAGCAGATCTTGAGGTAATATAAATCCATTATTTAGCATCTGCCTTCGGCTCAGGACATGATCTCAGGGTCCTGGGATGGAGCCCATTTCAGGCTCCCCGCTGAGCAGAGAGTCTGCTTCTCTCTCTCCCTCTGCCCCTCCCCCTGACTCGTGCTCTCTCTCTCTCTCTCAAATAAAATCTTTTTAAAAATCCACTGAGTTATAAATGCTCTAGCATCTAAACTGCATCTAAAATTACCTACATAACAAAGTATACACACAAACTATTCTCTATAAAGTAGATACTGAATAAATGTTCATTAACTATCTTAAAAAGATTTGCCCTCCTCCCCAAACTTCCACTTGTAAAGAATGAGTTGGTAAAACTGTCAAAGCAAACTGAGACAGAGACAAAGAATTTTAAATGGAAAGAGAGCAAGGAGAATGGGTGCAGTCATTGCTTCTTGTTCTTATTTCCCCTACAGGTGCCCTCGAACTACAGTAAGAGGCCAGAAGCACACCTCATGTTACAGCACATCTTTTGGCTCTGAGTAAAGGATGAGTTTTGGATCTCATGGTCTTAGAGTGACATTAGGGAACAAAAGTAAATAGCATGGCCACAAAAACTGATATACCCAGATAGGCTACTCACCCTAACCCTTCTTTCTCCCTCCTACACAAATATAATTTAAAAATCATAGGCATCTTAAACATAATTCATATTAAACAGTTTTTTCCTTCTCAATTCCCAAGCAAAATGAGGAGGAAAAATACTTTTCAAAAAATTGAAAACAACGTAGCAATGTTTAAATGCTTAAAATATAAAATTAAAAGAAAGGCAAAATGTACACTATCATTACAGCTATGTAAAAATGTACACTCAGGGGCAAGGGTTGATCCAGGACAGAAAAATGAACTTGATATGTTGGGACAGGGTTTCGTAACCTCAGCATCATTGACATTTGGGCTGGATAATTCTTTGTTGTGGGGGGATGTTCTGTGCATAGCGGGATGTAGAGCAGCATCCCTGGCCCCTGCCAACTAGATGCCAGTAACATATCCCCAGCTGGGATGTGCTGGATATCCTTTGCCAAATGTCTCATGGGGAGCAAGATCACCTCCGGGGTTTAGAGCCGCTGTCCTAGGGTGAGAGGAAAGTTTTTAAAAAGTTACTTTTCAATGTTGCCCTAATGATGTTTGTTCAGTAAATACATATTGGAAGCGGAAAGGCAAGACCCTTAAAACATAGCATCTAACACTCTGCTTTTCAAAAGTTAGAATTTATCCATTAAATGTGAAAAATTGAAAAAGTTTCAGAACTTTTTCTTTTTTAAAGATTGTATTTATTTATTTATTCATTCATTCATTCATTTAGAGTGCAAGCAAGGGGAGGGGCAGAGGGAGAGGGAGAGAGAGAATCTCAAGCCAACTCCACACTGATCGCGGAGCTTGATCTTAAGACCCTGAGATCATGACCTCAGCTGAAATCAAGAGTCAGACGCCCAACCGACTTAGCCACCAGGTGCCCCCAGAACTTCTTTTTCTTTTCCAATCTATTACGGAAGACTAAGCTGAATTTCCCAGTATTTGGAAAATTGACCTGGCTGTAATTTGAGATATCACAGATAAGTGCTGTAATTGGCCTGAGAAAATAAAAATATCCAAATCATTCTAGCCCCCAAAATACCTGCTAAAAGTGCATGTCTTCAAAATAAGTTTACATTTAAACCTGAATACTGAAAAAGAAATAGTAAGACTTAACAAGGAACACAAGACATATTAAAGTTTTTCAACTAAAAGAAAATTGCACTGGCTCTAAATGAATCTTATTCTATTTTTTAAGGTTCTATGTTCCAGTCTTTTTAGGACTATTAAGACTTCTCCCTTGCCAAAAATGTTTATTTTCAATCTCTCCTCCTCATTGTTTCTGTTTCTTGGCTCACATCACAAAGAATGTCTTCTGATTAAGAAACTGACATGAAGGGGCACCTGGGTGGCTCAGTCGGTTGGGCAGCCAACTCTTGATTTCCCCTCAGGTCTTGATCTCAGGGTCCTGTGCGAGCCCACCCCCGCAAACCCCCCCTCAGTGGGTATCTGCTTGAGGATTCTCTCTCCCCTACTCCGTCTGCCCCCTCCCCCATGAAAACGTGTTCTCTCTCTAAAATGAATAAATCTTTAAAAAAAAAAAAAAGGAAATTGACATGAATAGAAGGCACAAGACCTGTTTTAAGCATCTCCTCTCCAGAAAATTCGACGGTATCAAGGCACTGTGTTCATACGGGCTTAAAGTTGAAATCCGGTTACATGATCATTCTGAATGACCTTTTCATAAGCATGAATACATCATGTAAATCTAACATAGTATTCACTTGAGCAAGGCATAATCTTCTTTTTTTATATAAGCCTGGGACAGGCCTAAAAATGCATTTTTATTTTTCCCCCTCCGTTTTCAAAACACACTAGGCTTGCAAAATTTACTGTTTGTATTTACCAATGTGCGCTTCTCCATGCTAGTTAGTTTACCCAAGACAGGAAGCTTGCCATAGTGCAGAGAAACAAAGAAAATCTTCCAAATGATTCCAGAGCTGGAGAATGTGGAATACTTAGCTATCCAAAGCATTGTAGCAGGAAAACAGAGGGAGGTGGTCTATAGATGGCAGAGGTGGTGGAGACGAATGAACATTCAGTGATGCGCAGCATGGACAAGAAAGGGTGAAAATGGCTGTGGAATGAGCAGGATGAGAAAAGTGGCGCTCAGGGTGATGAGAGAAGCGGATGAGATTGTAGCTCGAAAGGTAGAAGGTAACTGACTTGATGACGTCGGATGCTGAAGATACCAAAGGCCTCTCCAGAGCTTCATCGGCAGTTAAGGTTCTGCATGATGAACATAGGACGAACAAGCAGAAAACGGCAGTTCTTTGTTCACAAGCCTACAACCAGGGGAAGCCGTGGCTCGGAGGACTCGGGCCAGGCCCGTCAGGCGCAGTGGTCTGTGCACGGCTGAACTGAATCTTCGCCTGGGCAGTGAGAAAAGGAGCGCCCACCTAACTGACGGGTTCCAAGCCCTCTCTAAATAAGACAGACAGCCTAATTCTAGGACAGGCCTGTGGCGGCTGGGTCCCTGGGGACGGGCGAATCCTTCAGGCAGAATCACTCCAGCCCGCCACAACAAAGGCAGAGCCAGGAGAGGCTCTCCTCCGGTTTCGGGCCACACTGGTGAGAGAAGTGGGAAAAACCTGGAAGGCTAAAAAGGAACGCAGAAAAGGCGCTTTCCTCCTGGGGGCTGAGGCGGAACCGCGGGAACCAGGCCGGAAACTGTCTTTCGGAGAGTGCAGTGAGGATCCCGGCTCACTCGGCTCCACCGCTGCTCAGCGGCCAGCGGCAGGTGCCTACCCAGGCCCGGGCGTCATAGCAACAGCACTCGCCGCAGAGACGCCGAGGCGTCCTTCCGGCGGGAACCATAGAAACGACGCGCACCATTGGCTCAGGGGCTGCTCTTCCTGTGGAGACAGCGCACACCATTGGCCTTTGGGCCGTGGGGCGGGGTTTTTCGGCAAAACAAAAGTACGGCTCATTCCATTGGCTTTGCAGTAACCATGGTAACAACATAGGTGCGCTTTTTCTACTTGGAGGCTACATTTTGTTAGCGGGCATTTATAATTCTCAAATAGCTTCCCGCCGGCCTAATAATCTTGGTTTTATTTTTCTAGAAGTAACTTCATTCTTAAAAGGAAGAGGGTCAGGAGTTGTGAATTTTAAGCCTAGATCTGTCACTACCTGGGGCGCCTAAGACAAATCGCATTTTTCGGACTTGGCTTTATTACAGTAAAAATGAAGAAATCGGACTTGACTAGAATTGTCCCTAAGACAGAAGCCCTTTAGAAGTCCTAGAAAATTCAGTTTAAGTGAACCGTTCCTCCACTTATGTCGTGCAAAATAAAAATTCTAAATGACAACTTAAGAGAGCCTTGGTTTATATCATGTTCATTTAAATGCTCTTATTGCAAGGTTCTAGTTAGTTCATCAAAGCTTGATTTGACCCATGTTTTGGGGGCTCTTACTTTGCTGATATCCCAAACAGGTACCCACATTTCAATCTTATTCTAGTTCCACATACGATCCTTTCCAAAGCTTTGCCAGTTATCTGGATAGATCTCATCCCTTACTTTATGGAAGTACTTCAACCATTTCCACCTTACAAATGTGTTTTCTCTGGTCTAAAATGCGCACGGCCATCACTTCCAGTCCACTTAACTCCTACTTATCACTTGTCACTTCCTCAGGGAAACAATTCTTGGTCCTCCAATCCAGATCAAGTGCTTTCTCATTTGCTCTCATTGACTCGCGTTCCTTTTCATTCTTTCTTGGCACACTCCTATTTGCTGTTAAAACAAACAAACAAACAAACAAACAAACCTCTTGGAATTTTAACATGTGTAAATACTGTTTAAGTGCTCCAAATGGAAATTATACTGAATTGGAAAACACTTCAAAAATTCCATGTAGGAAAGTGGTGTTTAAGCCTGACAAACCAGGATAGGAAATGGTTCCCAAGGGAAGTAATAGTTATGGTAGAAACAAACATTAAGATCACTTCTAGTTTTGGGGCGCCTGGGTGGCTCAGTTGGTTAAGCGGCTGCCTTCGGCTCAGGTCATGATCCTCGGGTGCTGGGATCAAGCCCCGCATCAGGCTCCCTGCTCGGCTGGAAGCCTGCTTCTCCCTCTCCCACTCCCCCTGCTTGTGTTCCCTCTCACGCCGTCTCTCTCTCTCTCTCTGTCAATTAAATAAATAAAATCTTTAAAAAAAAAAAAAGATCACTTCTAGTTTTCACTCCATTTACCCTCGTTGGACGTTCAAACATCATAATGACAGTCATCATCCACATGAAGTTATAGATGTAGGGAAGAAAATCAATCTTTTGCTTCCTATCCTTTTGGTACTGCAGCCACTGCTGACAGAGCCTGTTGTCTTTGAGATTTTGCTAATCAGACCTTAATTGAAAATTTTTGTTCAATGGGACTGCTGCTTCCAGAACAGTCCTGATTGCTGCAGTTGTTTTTCCTCTGCTTGAAAGTCACATTTCTTGATTTAATGACATATTTCAAAGCATCTTTGCACCTCTGCTCAAATCTTTTCAACATTGATCGTATCACTGTCATCAGACACATTGGGCTACCCTGCCCAACTCCCTGATTATCACTAATTGCGTTTTAAATCAAGTATGTAAAGTATATTTCCTGCTTCCACCTACTTATTAATGGCAGTTTCTCAACATGCACTCTGGACCAACCTACAGATCATTTAGGGGATTTTTCTGAACCACATTTCTTGTACACTCCCATCCCAAAGCTCAGGACAGTAAAAAATCTACATGCCAGACACCAGACGACTAATGCTTCATCTTCACTGTTTTATTTACTCCTCACAACAAAGGGCATTATTCAGAAGAGATTTACTATCTCTATTTTATAAATGAACTTGAGATTAAGTCAAGGGTCTAAGCTTACAAAGGTAACAGGTGGCACAGCTCGAAGAGTCAAACTTGGCTGAGATGGCTCCAAAGCCCCTACTCCTTACCACATAGCAAAGCTTCCCTCAGGGTGGAAATCACTAATAGGCCCCTTCCTGGCCCCAGGTAGAAGTCAAGTTTCCCTTAAGAACAGTTCTAAAATATTTGAAAGGTAAACTGTTAACTCAAATAGAGAGTCAACCGAGCAAAAAGTGAATGCAGTGGGAAGCTCATAATTCTACAGGCTATTTATCTTGAGGGAAGTGTCTTTCTCTTGTACTCCCACTTTGGATAAATTTCCAAAAAACATTTCCATCATGTTGGCTTTTGGGCACACACTTTATTGCACTTTATTTTTCATACATCCATTTCCCAGAGACATATTTATTCATCTTTTTAACCCTCATAATCCTCAGGGCCTACCACATGGTAGGCATCAAGAAATATTTGATCTTTAAGGCATGGCCATTCATGCATCCATAATCCTTCTCATATTATGAAGAAGGTTGATATTCAGGCCTCACAGGTATATGCCGAGGAATATAATTCCCAATAAGCTCTTTTTTTAAAGGTGAGGAACAGCTCATGTTCATTTTCAAAATCCAGGTGACAATCAGATGAGTGTGTCAGGTGGCTTGGTCATAAGTGCGTTGCTTTTGTTTTCATTTTTATTGAGTATGAAATGATCTTTAAAAGACAAATACCAAACTATATTCACCTGCATACCACTCAGTTTTTTCCCTTCATTTTTTTGTCTTTATGAAAGCAAAGGATTTGTTTTTACCAGTTATAAGAGCCCTGATCCACTGAACAATTTTTGATCCTACAAAGTCTTTCTTTACTTCAGTTGTCATGTATAAAAGCTGTGTGTCGAGACTGAAGATCACCCACTATCTTCTCTTCTATATCTATGCCTTTTTCTACTTCTTCCTCTGACAGCATTATCTTGGTTTCTGAGTCTTTTGTTAAAATAACCACAGAGGACCGTCGTGACTCAAGGCTATTGGCCACCACCACTTGATGTCGATAAACTTCCAAAGCATTCCGTGCACGATCAATTACGATGGAAGGGTCAGTCTCCAACTTAAAAGAAATTATAAATGCTTTGGGAGCCCAGTCTTTAACCAAAGGAGAAAGCATTTTTGGCACCATCTTCATTGTTATCTGTATTGGAAAAAGAAAAGCTTAATAAGCAAAGAAAGGTCATTCTCTACCAGGTCAGTCTCATGGGAAACCAAGGAAGTAGGGACTCGGATTTTTGGCTATGTCAATTTGAGTGCGATTTCTCATTGTCAAACTTTTCAGAGCATTTTAAATGCTTAGTTTAAGAGCCTTGGCTCAGGGTTCATGAGGATTCCTAATTCCAAGACTTCATACAAATTCTGAGACAAACCATGTCTTATGAGTTAACCTTGCCCTACCACCCTCATCACCATTAACAGAGCTCTGAAAAACAGCATTATATTTTCTTAAACATTCCCCTTATTTTAAACCAAACACTCAAATAAACAAATCTATTCACGCAAATCTGTAGCGCAAACGTAACTTTGGCAGAAGTTTAATTAACATTCGGTTTTTAAATCTCTTAGCCTAAAATATTCCTTGCACCAGTAGCATGGCTATTTGATTCTGTTTAAAAACTGTCACTCATCACACATCTTAGCACTGAAGAAACTGAACTGATTTCTTTATTTTCACTTAATCAAAACTCCTACTATACCATTCTTGATCCCTTCTAAGAATGCTGAGTTGGTTTGTGTACTTTCAAGAAAGAACTAAAAAACAGAGGATAAACTAAAGCTCCCAGAATTTTAAAAGTGTGAAATTACTATGATAATTATCAGGATTTCAGAAAATTAGCAAGTGTGATAGGGATTATATTCCCATTCCCCACTTAATTTTTCTGCTTAGCATTTTTCACTACCTAACATAGTATGCATTTGACTTATTTACGGTCTCTGAAGAGTGCAAACAACACAAGGGCACAGTATGTTTCTTTGCACTGCTTTATCTCCAGGTCTTACTACAGTACTTGGCATATTTATTGAAAAAATGAACAAATGAAGTATCCTACAAAGTCAGCAAGTATCCCACAGGTAGTTTCTCCTATTTAAATTCTGCTTGAATCATA